GGTAAGTGTGAGGGCTCAGCATCCCATCTGCCTGCAGGGCTTGGAAAACATGGCTGCAGGAACTCCTCCTTTTTTTTTGGGGGGGGGAGACAGGGTCTTGCTCTGTAGCCCAGGCTAGCCTTGAACTCACTGTGGAGTCCAGACTGGACTTGAACTCCTGGTGATCCTCCTGCCTCAGCTTCCCAAAAGCTGAAATTACAGGTGTGCGCTACCACACCCAGCAAGGTTTCCTCTATTACACAGGTGACTTTGAACTTACAAAAGGGAAAGGTGGAGCTGGGGTGCCACAGCTTCAGGGCGGCTGTGGGGTGGCCCTCTGCCCGCAGGGCCAAGCCCGCAGGTGGTGCCACACGAGGGCACTGCTCATCGGTGCCCGCTCAAGGAGGAGGAGGAACAGGCAGGCAGACAGATGGGGGCGTGCAGGATGCCCTGCAGAGCACTGGAGCTTCCTGCTCCAGAGAGGGTGAAGGAAGCAGCTCTTGAGAGGCGACATCAAGGCCGGAGACAGCTGTGTGTGGTGGCACACTGTGAGTTCAAGGCCAGCCTGAACTACATAGTGAGATCTTGCCTAAAAAAAAAAAAAAATCACAAGAGTGCAAAGTGTCACTGAGGCTTCCTTCCCTATCCTCCTCCTCCTATCCCACCCTCAGCTGAACCTCTTTGGTGGTGGTGGTGGTGGTGGTGGTGTGTGTGTGTGTGTGTGTGTGTGTGCGCGCGCGCGTGTGCAGGGTCTGACTAAGCAGCTTGAACTCGTAGTGATCCTCCTGTTTTCAGCTTCCTAGTGCTGGGATTAGGGCATGTGCCACCATGCTGACTCCATCAGTGCCAGGCATGGAACCCTGCCTGCTTAGTCCGCTGAGCTATCTCACGGACCCTGATCCTCCCTTTGGGATGGTACACCTGTACTTGTGTGCTTTGTTTTCCTTTCTTTTTTTTTTTTTTTTTTGGCAGAACCAGGGATTGAACTCAGGCCCTTGTGCTTGCCAGGGAAGCACTTATTCTACTGAGCTGTCTCCCCGGGCCTTGGATAATTTATAAAGAGAAAAAAAAATTTTTTTGAACCAATGTCTCACTGGGGCCTTGGATAATTTATAAAGAGAAAAAAAAATTTTTTTGAACCAATGTCTCACTATACAGCCCAGGCTAGTCTCAAACTCCCAGTGATGCTCCTGCCTCAGCCCCGAGTGCTAGGATTACAGGCGTGCACCACCACGCCCATCATGAAAACATGAGTTACTTGTGTTTCTCACTAGTCGCTGTGGCGTTGAGCTCCCAACAGTCTTCTTGCCTGGCCTCCCCGGTGCTGGGATTGCAGGCACCCACCACCACACCCAGCTTGAAAACATGAATTTTAATGGGACTTTTAATTTTAATGGGAATTTTAATTTGTATTGTTTTTGTAGTAAGGATGTCTCAAATGCAACTGGGGCAATTTAGTGTCTAGTGAAACCCTGTTTCGAAACAGAAAATTAAATGGGCCAAGGATGTAGCTTAGTGCAAAGGTACCCAGTTGTATCCCTAACATCCCTTTTGGAAAAGAAAAATCAATCTGAATGAATGATTTTTTTTGTATTTAGGACGGGGTGTACAGGGTCTCACTGTGTAGATTGGACTGGTAGTGATCTTCCTGTTCACAGCCTCCCAAGTGCTGGGATTACAGGTGTGTGCCACCATGCCATCTCGATGCGCCCTGAGGGTGGGCAGGCCCCAGGGATCAAACTCCCGGCCCCTGCATCTGCCAAGCTCTTTGGCTGGCCCATGATTGAACAATTTCAGCTTCTTAGAGGCAAAACCTCTACGATGCCTCCTGACTCCATCCTCATTCTGTTTCTACTCTGGGCCACCTCAGGGTGGCTGCGCTAGCCATGGCTGGAGGGCAGAGTCACAAGGGGGCCTGCAGGGCTGGCTGAGGACCTGGGCAGCTGTCCCCAACACAGGGCGGAAACCAGCTCTGGGTATGAAGACTGGGACCCCCTCCCCAACAAGGCCATCACGCCCGCTGCACCCTGTCCCCCACAGGACTGTGCTGAGGAGAGGCCCCTTTGTCTCCATCTCCCTCTCCAGGGATGGACCCCAGATCAGAAGTGGCCTGTCATGTGGCCATCGCCCCACTGTGCCTGCCCCCCTCCGTGGCTCCCCTACCAAGGAACGCTTCTTTGGCTTCTTGGCAGTGTCTTTCCACACACTAAAGCTCTGGAGCTGGTTTGAGTATTGCAGATGGAACCCAGGGAGTTTCCCATGCCCAGGTATACTCCATTTTAGTTAATTTTTCTATGTAATCATCTGATTTGTGTGGTGCTGAGATTTGAACCCAGAGCTCCAAGCATGCTTGACTTGAACTCTATCTGCTTTTTCTGTTTCGAGACAGGGCCTTGTCATGTAGCTCAGCCTGGCCCTGAGCTTCCTTCATGGCCCAGGCTGGTCTGGAACTCGAGCCTCAGCCCCCCAACTGCTGGGATTTCAGGTGCCTGCCACCACCTGGCTCTGCACTCGTCTCTCCTAAGCTACACCCTCAGGACTAATTAATTTTGCAGTACTGGGGGTTAAATCCAGGGAGCACTGGGCTACGTCCCAAGCCCTATTTATTTTCAAGTTTAAGGCAGGGTCTTACTGTGCCGCATCCTCCTGCCTCAGCCCCCGTACCCATTTCTTCAGTGGAGTCCAGGGTCCTGCTTGTGGCCTCCATGGCGGGGCTGTAGCACAGCTGCTAAATCCAAGGCATTAAGATCCTGCCTCAGGGTTCCTAGTGGTGTTTATATAAAGGCCGGAAACGCAAGCTCACATGGACCTCTGTGGAGGGAAAGAAGCCAGAAACAAAGAGTGCAAGGCCATGTGTGACCCTCAAGGGGCAGAAGTCACCAGCAGGGCTGGACACCTGACCAGCACAGTCAGAAGGCCGCCCGGGAGCCACTCGGGGCCAGGGCATGGGAGGGTTCAGGGCACAGCCCGAGCCCACGTGTAAGGGGCCCTTGTGAGCCTGACTCTGCTGCGAGTTACACCCGAACTGCTTCCCTGAGTGGCCCAGGCCAGGTGGGGTGGTGCATGCCTGGAACCCTAGCACTCGGGGAGGCTGAGGCAGGAGGATCACCTCAGGGCCAGCCCGGGCAACAGAACAAAACTGGGTCTGAAAAAAGCAAAAAAGAAAACAAAAGAACAAGTGAAGTTTGTTATGGGTTCTCAACATAGAAACCAGACCTGAGTCCAAATTAAAGTTTAAGAATGAGGCTTTTTATTACTGGACCCGGGACCGCTTGACCATACTCACACAGGAGAGGACAAACGGCCAGGAGCCTTAGAAGTGTAGCGGTTTTAAAGGTAGAAACCGCATCCTGTTTGGCAAACAAATTTGTCATTTAACATAGAACAGTACCTTTAGGGCCAGCATGACCATTACTCAGCATACATGTTTTTTTTTTTTTTGCAGAACCAGGAATTGAACTCAGGCCCTTGCGCTTGCCAGGGAAGCGCTTATTCCACTGAGCCATCTCCTGGCCCCAGCATACTTTTCTGGAACTCTCAGTCTCCTGATGGTTTATCAGTGGTGCACCAAGCCTCCTTGCAGTCTTACGAGGAAGCAGGGCCACAGAAAGGTGAACAGAGTAATTTTTTACATTTAGTTTTACATTAACTCATCTTTTACATTAGCCCTTCACAAAGTTAAATACAAATTTTTTGTCCTGTGTGGGTGATGGACGCACGCTCGGCACACCTCTACTTCTGGGCCCAGCAGTAATATTCTGACTTTAAGTCCATGTATCCAGGAAGTGAGCCTTTGAAGATGCAATGACCTCGCTGGGCTGTGGCAGCACTTGTACTTCCAGAGGCCTGGAAGGCTGAGGCAGGAGGGTCGGAAATTCAAGTCCAGATCAGGCAATTTAGCAAGGCCCTATCGCAAAAGCAAAACACAGCCCTGGGGCTGTAGCCTCGTGTGAAGGTCCTGCACTCTTGTCTTCCAAGCCCAGCACCTCAGGGTGGCCCCACATGGCTGTCCGGACAGCAGAGGCTGGGGAAGGGCCATGATGGACTCACCGCCCTGTGGTCCAAGCCAGTGTCTTTCTCCTGAGAACAGACCAGTCTTTGGGCTCGGGGAGCCGAAAGGCCTCGCGCAGATGGCGTGGGGCAGGGGTCAGTTCCTATTCTCTGTGCAGTAGCTGCAGACCTGCATCCTGGAGTGGGAGGTCCTGGTGAGGGACCCGGCTGTGGCATGTGCAATCCTGCAGGGCTTCGAGATGAAACTCAAGAGTGCCAACAGGGAGCCCATGTTCTTCACGGGACACCCTGCGCTCCGTCCTGGAGGTGGGGAGCTGTGCTTGCGCCACTCGCCTACCTCCCTGGGCCCTAGGTCCACAGGTGTCCCTGAGGACTATGAGGCCCCACTCAGCTGGGAATCCCTAGAAGCTCAGGTCACACATCATCAGAGTCCAGGCCAGGGAGACCTACTGGCAGGATCCTCCAGCTTTACTGTCCCCTGGGCCAGGCGCATCTTTGAGCCCTGGCTCACCACGCCTCAGCCGCAAGCAGGAGTGTGCAGGCTGGTGGGGGGCCCCCTTTTACCCTATCCACTCCCACACTTCCAGTATCCCCACAAGGGACAAGGTGAGCAGACACCACCCTCCCCACCGTTAGCAGTGGTTTGTCCCTGGAGGCCCCAGGCAGTCATTTTGTCCACCTGACCCAGACCCATGCAGGCCTCCTGTGCAGCCTGTCGGCACCGCCAGGCCTGTGCCCTGCGGGGCACTGTGGCCCCCAGCCATGCCAGCCTCCACCTGGACTCCCAGCTCCCCGCCCCACAGGCCAGGGAGGGGTCAAGTCAGACAGTGGAGAATCTGCTGGCAGAGCCAGGGGAAGGCAGAACATTCTGACCTGAACATCTGGGACTTCAGAAGGGGACAATGACTTGGCGATGGTGGCTCACACTTGTAAGCCTGGTACTCTGGGAGGCTGAGGCAAGAGGTTCTCAAATTTAAGCCCAGTGTGAACAGCTTGGAAAGTGTCTCAAAATACAGAGGGGTTGGGGCTGTAGCTCAGTGTGAAGACCCGAGGCTCAAGGCCTAGTACTGCAAAAATGAAACAATGAGGGAAGAGTCTGGGCCTGGGTGTGAGAAGGAAGCAGGGGCTGAGGGCAGCCCCCTGGTGTGCGGAGGCCCCGTGCTGCCATTTGTAGGGACACGTCCCTGTCCCTTACTCCTACAGCTGCTTCCCTGCTGCACGGTCTCTGTGGAGGGGCAGGGCCAGAAGAGGGCAGCAGTCGCTCCAGGTGCTGCGGTAGGGGCTCCCTCCCGAGGTCCGGGACCCCCGGCCTCGCCGCAGCTCAGTATGGCCGGAACTTGCGCTGGGCCCGCAGCAGCTCAATCCTCTGTTTATCCTCCTCGAACTTCTTGCGCAGCTGTGCTAGGTCTGGGGGACAGGAGGGCGAGGGGCGGGGTCAGGGCGTGGGGCAGGGGCACCACTGCTGGGGCTTCCACTGTGGCCTCGGCCCCTCTACCCCGCTGCTCTGGGGTGGGTTCGCGCTCTGCATGGAGACAACCACTGGCGCTCAGTGGACAGAGGGCAGCAAGGACACCACGCTAGGCGCCTCCACCGCAGTGAGGGGTGTGGACCTTGTCCCCACCAGGACTCAGGAACCAGCGAGGACCCAGGGCCTGAGCTCCGCTAGTGACTCTGGTCCCTGAGGGACCTGGGCAGAGGGTGGGTGGCACAGAAGGGCTGAAGCCAGGGCCAGAAGCAGGCACAGAGTGGGAGAAGCCGCTGTCCTGCGGGGGACACTGGGCAGCACCCTCGCTGCGCACAGGGCCTTGTGTGCTCCAGGCTGAGCTGAGAGCTGCCTCCCTAAACCTGTAGCCTGCAGGACGCCGCCCTCCCCACCCTGGAGCCGCTCCTTACGCTCCATCTTGGTCTCGCGGTGCTGCCAGGCGTAGAAGTTCAGCAGCTCCTTGCGCGCCCGCTTCCGCCGCTCCCGCTCCAAGACCCGCAGGCTGGCGGCTTCCGTCCGGGGCAGCACGGGCCGCCGGCCACGGCGCGTCACTTTCACCCAGCCCTCCTCATCTGGGACCCCTTCCTCCTCCTTGGCCTTGGCCTCTTCCTGCAGAGGACAAGGTCCTAGGCTCGGTGGGTCCCCCATCGTTCTGCCCCAAGCCAGCCCGCCGCTGCCACCCTCTACCCCATGGGCCACTGGGGCTCTGTCACCCAGCGAGTGGCCAGGGATACTGAGGGAAGAGTGGAGTCTGGACTCCACACAGCAGCAAGGCTACACTGCTACCACCCACCCGCTAAGCAGGTGCAGGATACCATGTCCCTCCTCCTCTGGTGACGCAGGTGACCCTTAGTGGCCCCGAGGGAGCCCCTACCTCAGCAATTTTCTTGTCATAGGCCTCCATGAATGTGTCCACCTCGACTCTCAGGGCCTCGGGGTCAGCCACCGAGTCCCCATAGTCATGGATCCACTCTGAGAAGGGAACACAGCCACCCGCTGCAGCCGGCATCCAGGCACCAGGCAAGGGTGTAGGGAGCTTGGGGCAGGGCTCAGGGCCTGCAGATCTGTGGCCTGGGGTGTAGGGAGGGACGCAGGGGCCCCCAGGGATAGCAGGCTGGTCCCTCCCCTGCCCACTCACTGCCAGACACAGTGCTGCCTGCCCAGGTCCTCACAGGCAGGACACAGCTGGTGACAGATGTGTACCCCAGAAGCTGCCCTCACCAGCCCATGCCCGGGAAGGGGGCACTGGGCACCGCCTTTGGTACTTACTGTGAACGCCACTCAGCACAGGGTGACTCTCAGTGGAGACTAGCAGGGGGTCCCTTAGCGCCAAGGCAGCAGCCACTCCGCTGGGCCTCTGGAACACCACGTAGGCCACCCGGAAGCCCTGTGGAGGAGCCAGTGTGGGCAGCCGCCCTCACCCTGTCAGCAGCTGGATGGGGAGGGGGCTGCTCCAAGGCCCTAGATGACCACAGTCGCCACATCCAGGGGCGGAACAACCACACCTAGCTTCCCAAGTGCTGGGGACCAGGGATTCCCTCATTTTGGGAGGGACTCAGCGCAAAGCCAGGGCAGGCACCTTCACAAGAAGGTGAGTGGCCCCTTGAACTCGGGGAGCTGTGAGCTCAAGTGACCAGTGGACACAGGCCAGGGGCTCCATGAGAAGCAGATGGGGTTTGGGGCCATGAGGGCTGTGGGCAGAGAAGGTCCTGGGCTTTAACACTGGGCACAGCGAATGCCTAGCAGGGGCCTAGGGCCTACGGAGAGCACTTGGGAAGCCCGACGCAGCCCATGTCCCCACGCACTGCGACCACACACTGCAACCCACCCTGCCCCCCCCGCCATGCCATGCTGCAGGAGTCAGGAATAGGGGCCCTACCGGGATGGGCTTGGGGTGGAAAAACTTGGACTTTGATTCCTTCGGGCTCTCCACAAGGTCAGGCTTCTCCTGCAGCTCCACAGACTGGACCGGGCCGCACGGGGCCAGGAGGCGTGACAGGCACTCCTGCCGGGCCAAGGGGAGCAAAGTGAGCAACCACAGAGCCGTCCTTGGGTCCTCCCTACACGCTGGTGACACCGGTGGGCCCGAGCCTGAGTCTGGGCCCCATAGGGCCAAGGCTTAGACGGGCGTCCCCACACCGGAAGCTTAGGGTAGATGGGACGATTCTGGCATCATTCTGATTTTATAAAACATTTAAGTTTTACAACCTGAGTCAGAAACAGTCAAATCTACACTGGTAGAATCAGGACAGTGTGGTCTTTGATAGGAAGGGCATGAGAGGTCCCCTGGTGACTGTTGACACTACACAGTATGTTCAGGTTGTCACCAGCCTCCAGCTGAACAAACAGCCTGCCCCTACCCATTGCTGAGCCCCATTAACAACCCCCCTCCTTTTGTTACTGGGGGTTGAACCGAGGCCCCTGCACTGAGCTACACCCCACCCCTTCTTTTCATTTTTAATTTTGAGACAGGGCCTTGCCAAGTTGTGAAGTTGCCCACACCAGGCTTGAACTTGCAGTCTTCCTGCCTCAGCCTCCCAAAGAGCTGGGATTATAGGCATGTGCCTCCTACACCTGCCGCAAGAGGTAGAGACAGCTTCTTGGCACCCTCCACCTGGGCTTCATCAGCAATTCCTCCCTACTCCCGAGGACCTGGTAGGGACCAGGAGCTCACCTCCGAGCAGTACGGGGGCACATTGAGGACAAACAGGGTGCGCTTCTGCGGCCTGCTGGACTTGGCACCTTCCCGAACTCTGTGCTCCCTTGCATAGAGGTAGTGAGATGCCCGCTGCTTTTCTGAGAACTTGATTGGAATGGCTGCAAGGAGGCAGGGCAGGAATGAGTTCCGACCACCCAGAGCTGAGGTCAGCGCCTAATTCCCACCATTTCCTTTCTCAGTGTCCCTCCTTGTCCTGCCCATCTGTCCATCCCTCCATCCTTCACTGACTGAGCCTTCCTCCTAGGGGAGGCCCATGCAGGCTTCAAGAGTGAACAAATAATAAAAATCTATCCAACCAGGACCTCTGTTCTGGTAAGAGAACACATGAGGCTGGCAATTATGATGGATGGGGGCAGTGGGAGGGAAGCCCCAAAAGCTGTTACCCTACTAAACCAAGCTTGAACACTGTGTTCTTGACCTCAGTGCAGCCATGAACCCTCTTCCCTCACGCCTCTGGCCTGTCAGTCTGCAGGTCTACCAATTGTGGTGGGGCTTTTTGGTTAATCATGGATATTCTATAAATGTTAATGTTCATAAAGCTGGGGGATGTTGCTTGGATCCCTCCCCCTCCACAGTGAGGATATATGTGAGGTCCAGGCCTCACATTCAGAAAGCTCGGATTTTTTTTTGTTGATGTTGAGATAGGATCTTATTAGGTTATTATTGCGGGCTGACCTGACCTTGTCCCTGCAGCGATCTTCCAGCCCCAGCCTCCCGAGTGGGGGTATTACAGGCATGCACCACTACCCCTAGGCAGGAAGCTCATAATGTCATGCCCAGACAATGGTAACTGCTTGTATCGCCTATGGAAAACGCACGCAGTGACAGGGTGGCAGAAAACTTCCAACAAGCAATCAGGGATAGCTTTGTGCGTCTGTATGTGGTACTGGGGACTGAACCTAAGACCTTCGCACTAAGCCACGTGCCCAATTTTGGGACAGGCTCTCGCTGAATCGCTAAACTGCCCAGGCGGGGCTCAAACTTGTGATCCTCCTGCCTCAGTCTTCGAGCGCTGAGATTCCAGTCGTCTGCACCGCGCCTGGCGAGGGACTGCCTTTTTGAGGAACGCCCGCACCCAGAGGGGCTCGCGCGGCTCACGGCGTCCACAGCGGAGAGGCGCCGCGTGGGTCCTTAGTCCTGCAGGCTGCCGAGCGGCCGGGGCCCGGGGCCCCGGGACTCGCGCCCAGCCAGCCACCGCTAGCCCCCAGACCAGCTCCCGGCGGAGCCTAATCATCCTCTGGCCTCCCATCCCAGAACTGCTCACCTGAGTAGCCCGGCGGGCTCAGGACGCGTCCATCAGGGTCCCGCGTAGCGCGTTTCTTACCGCGCGCTACCATCTTACCAGCCGGAAAGCGCAGGGACCACTGGGAAATGTAGTTCGGTGCAAAGCGCGTGCGCGTTTCTTGAGCGACGGCGCCCGCGTGGGCCCCGCCCCTCCCTCCCAGCTCGCTTCCAGTGCCCGCCCCGCCCCGCCCCGCCCCGCCCCACCCGGCTCCCGGGACCCAACCTTCCATTGCCCAAAGCAAAAGTGAGTGTCAGTCCTAGCGGCTCCGGGGTGCGAAGTCAAGCAAACACACCTCTTTTCCTTATTCCACTGCACCCTCCTCCCCACCTTCCGTCCTTCCTTCTGCAACTACCCTGTTACTAACAACTGTGAGGTTTTTTTCTTTCAATCTGCTACGTATATTGTCTTTGGAGAGAGTGCACAGGAGACGTTTGTATGATATGCGTAGTGAGGGGTCTAGGTCTCTTGCTCTCGCCCTTGGCTTTTCTATAAGATTCTTGGGTGTATTTTTTTAATGCATTAAAAAACAAAAAACAAAAACAAAAAGCAAACAAACAAAAAACCCCACAGATTGGGCCCATAGTGATCCTCCTGTTTCCAGCCTCCCCAGAACCGGGATTACAGTCGTGCGCCACACACCCGGTCTTGGTGGTCGGCTCAGCCGGGCCAGGGCCAGCACAGCATATGGTGCCAAGGATCGAACTCCGGTCCTCGCACTTGCATAAGCAGGCGCTTA